TTCTTCTTGTGGTTGAAGACAGTTAGGACGGCACCTTTGGCTTCACGGATGCAGAACAATGGTCAGACTCGGGTTTTGCCATCAAATTCTATTGACATGCAATTCCAGAAGCTGTGAGTACACTGTTCAATGATAACATCATGTTTTAGAGTTTTGAGGCCTGTAAATAATGTTGGTTGGCTTGTGCATTCTATAATACTTGTTAAGTTTGTATTTTTGGAAGTTGCTACTGGAATACGTGGTCTTTATATGTGATAGGTGAAGTTATAGTCATCAAACGGTGATTTCTCTATCCTATTCTATGAGTGCCGCTTTCCTTTCTGGCTTCTGTGGTCGTCACTTACTGTGAGACTGCCCATTTCCAGAGTAGTTTATGTCTCATTTTGAGAGAAGGGTCCTCAATGGGTGTTAACTAAACTCAAAAGATTGTGTTGAATGCATGTATGGGAGTGTTTGCAAAGTGTTAATGTCCGATGCAGACATAGAATCTTGTAGAAGTGTCTCTGCTTATGAGTTTTGATTTTTCTGTAGGACAATGAAGGATCAATGATTCCATCTTTAAAATTTGTAGCATATTGCAACTTTTGCGAGTTTGTTGTTTTTAATTTTCAGGAACACAATTCGGATTTAAGTCGAAACCCAACCTTATTCGGGCTGGGTTTTTTCAAAACCCAATCTGGATAATTACATGGGTTGAACTTATATGTTCGGGATTGGTCAATAACAAATTGAAAAGTAAACAAAAGAGAAACTAAAATGGACAAATTTGTGTTATTAGCTAGGAGTCTAGGACCATGTAATATAGTTGAAAAAATAAATCTAAAAAACAAACTTAATTTATATTTTTTAGAACGACAAATGCATAATTAATGGTATTACAATTCGTGATTGTGAATTAGGACATTTAAAAAAAATTAAAAAAAATCTTTCAAATCAAATTCAATTATAACTAACAACAAATTTATTATATATCAAAATTACAAAATATATAGAATTCTTATCAATTATCATCACTTTATACCAATATTAACACAATATATATATACACATATATGTATGTATGTATTTACACAAAATTAGGTAGGCGAAACTGAATTTGGTTCGTCTAGTACCTCGCCTAAAGTTCAAGTTAGATTTGAATTCTAAAAAGTAGGTCAAAAAATTGGAACTGTATCCAAACTAGACGAATTTTCATTCACCCATTGCACTGTGCAATAGACACATTCAATCATTCATTAGTGTACATACAATATAAACTGTGGTCGCATGAATTACACGGACAGTCCGAATGTACCTATTGCACGTTGTAACGGATGTATGGAAGTTTTCTCGTACATTTGGTGTAAATTATACTCATAAATTATATACTAAATTCTTATCTTCTTCTTCTTCTTTTTTTACAAGAAAAACACTAGTACACCTACTTTGTTTCGGTAACTATTTTATATTTTTGAAGTGGTTCTCAACTCCAAGCATAGCCAAAAGTTTATGAAATTGAGTTTTAAATACTTTTTTATTGTATTAATAAATTTATTCTTATCAAATTATAAAAGTATACTCGTAATTGGTGACACTTAATTAGTAATTAATTCAATATCAAAAAAGATATTTTGGAATTATTATAAAAAATATATATACTACATTTATTTTTTAAATGAGACATATCACATGTATTTTGAAAAATGTCAAAAATAGAAAGATAAATATGAATTTTGGAAGGGAGGAACTAGGAAGTAATAACAACAATTTTAGTGTTATTTTAAAATTATATGGAGGCTTAAAAGGAAAAGGAAAAAAGAAAAAAATTTTGACCCAATCAAAAGTTGTCTCCGTACAAGTGGCGAGTCTAAAAGTCCAAGCGTGCCTATCTACTTTTAATTAATCCATTCTTAAATTGAAGTGAGGAGTGTAGAGACGGTGTTGGAGAGAGACATGGACGATCTGCCGAAGAATCAGCGAACTACGAAGCACTAACACCACTCGGGTTCTTGGAGAGAGCAGCTCTGGTGCATCCCCACCGTAAATCTGTGGTCCACGGGTCTCTGCACTACACGTGGCTCTAGACTTACCAGCGATGCCGTCAATTAGCCTCCATTCTCTCCAACCACTCCATCGGCATCGGTTCCACGGTTCTTCCATTGCTTCAATTGAAATTTTGCTCCACCCTTGTTTGGTTGCTCAGAAAACTCAGAAAAAATACAAAATTCGAATAATTAAATTGTCTTCTATAACATTTATTTGCAACTCAACTGAACAGAGTTACGTGTTTTGTATATGCAATTTGATGACTTATTTGTTGACTGAATTACTATTTTGATCATCTCGTGGAGTCGTTCAGATTTAAATGTCTTAATGACTTTTTTTTCTTGACGTCATAATTACTTCCTGTTAAGACCTAATTTATGTCTGCCTGGCCGACATAGAATCGTGCACGGCTCTCTGTATTTTTGTCATCTATCACGAACCGTTCTACGCGATTGATAGGCATTCTATTCTTATATGGCGGCTCCGGGCAATTTTAGACATTGTTTCGTCTCTCTCTCTTTGTCAACATTCAATTTCTTTAAGTCGCCTCAAGTTTACTTTTCATAGAATATGCGTGGTCCATTCCACTTGATTTATAAATGTGGTTGTTGATAAGAATGGTTGGATGTTAATTGTTTATTGAGGTGTCTGATTTGTTGCGAAGCGGAAAACTGCCCCTCCTCATTGGAGGCCTTCGCTACCATCATTCTTAAAAGACAATCTCACTTTCCACACGGCAATATATATATTTCATATGTTTGAGGCTTCAGCCCTCACACATTAAAGCATATAAAGCATTTAAAGTGATTTAATGGGCTTGCGCCCACTGGGCTGGGAATTTCTGAAAACTGGACTGACCCAACAATTGAAATCAAATGAATGTGCAGAGACTCATTATTGTCGAGCCTCGTTTGTTAAATTAAAATACATTATAAGATTTCTGGGTCAGAGCTTACAATAACTTACCTAATTGAAAATCAGATGAATGTGACTCATTATTATCAAGCTTCATTTGTTAAGTTAAAATATTTGATAAGACTTCTAAGTCAGAGCTTACAATAACTCAGCTAATTGGAAATCAAATGAATGTGACTCATTATTATCAAGCCTCATTTGTTAAGTTGAAATACATGATAAGATTTCTGAGTCAGAGCTTACAATAACTCCGCTAATTGGAAATCAAATGAATATGCAGGGACTCATTATTATCAATCCTCATTTGGTAAGTTGAAATACAAGATAAGATGTTGAAATGCAAGATAAGATTTCCGAGTCAGAGCTTACAACAACTCAGCTAATTGGTTATACTCAACTCAAAGTTATACAAAATTGGGCTAAGTCAGTAACTCGAACCTGAATATTTTTGGGTCCTTTTTTTTTTTTTTTTTTACTAACAAATATGCAATTACATATTTGTTTCTTTTCTCCCTTCGAAACATCAAATTTTTAATTCATTAATACTCTTTCTTTTTTTTTTTTTCTTTTTTTTTTTTCCAGATCAAACGGTTAGTCTTGAGACTGAAGTATTCAATTATTAATTTTTGTGTACTTCCAACTCTAGTTTTATTTTTATTAAGACAAAAAAATATAACTTTCCTTATTTTATTTTAAATATAAAAATAAATATAAAAATTTTTTAACTTTGGGTTGGGTTCGAGCCTGAGCCCAAGCCCAACCCGAACACACCTGGATTTTGAGAAAACATAACCCAATTTGAGTGCCATTTGAAAATTTAAAAGCCCAAATTTAAAAAATTTCAACTGATTAGCCTACCTAAGTTGCACTCCTAGTTATAGGCATTTTTACTTTATCATTTCTGGTCGCATTTATGAATAGGATAATTACATGGGTTGAACTTAATTATTATATGTTCGGGGATTGGTCAATAACAAATTGAAAAGTAAACAAAAGAGAAAATAAAATGGACAAATTTGTGTTATTAGCTAGGAGTCTAGGACCATGTAATATAGTTGAAAAAATAAATCTAAAAAACTTACATAATTTATATTTTCTAGAACGACAAATGTATAATTAATGGTATTACAATTCGTGATTGTGAATTAGGACATTTAAAAAAAAAATTAAAAAAAATCTTTCAAATCAAATTCAATTATAACTAACAACAAATTTATTATATATCAAACAGTGTAATGAGTGCAAGGAAATTTTCTCCTACATTTGGCATAAATTATACTCATAAATTATTGAGAAATACTATATTCTTGTCTTTTCTTTTTTTTACAAGAAAAACACTCATACACCTACTTTGCTTCGATGGTAACTATTTTATATTTTTGAACTAGTTCTCAACTCTGAGCATAGCCAAAATTTATGTAGTGAGTTTCAAATACTTTTTTATTGTATTAATAAATTTATTCTTATCAAATTATAAAAGCTTTTTATTTATTTTTTTTATTTACAAGAAAAACACTCATACACCTACTTTGTTTCGGTGGTAACTATTTTATATTTTTGAACTAGTTCTCAACTCTGAGCATAGCCGAAATTTTATGATTGTGAGTTTTAAATACTTTTTTTTTTATTGTATTAATAAATTTATTCTTATCAAATTATGAAAGAGTACTCGTAATTGGTGACACTTACATAGTATTTAATTAATTTAATATAAAAAAAGATATTTTAAAACTACTATATATATATATATATATATATATATATATATATATATTAGGACGTAGTAATACATTAATTTTTGAAATGAGACATATCACATTTATTTTGAAGAATGTCAAAATAGAAAGATAAATATGAATTTTGGAAAGGAGGAACTAGGAAGTAATACCAACAATTTCAGTGTTATTTTAAAATTATATGGACGCTTAAAAAGGAAAAGAAAAAAAATAAAATAAAATTGACCCAATCAAAAGTTGTCTCGTACAAGTGGTGAGTAAAAGTCCAAGCGTGTCTATCTACTTTTAATTAATCCATTCAGGTATATATTACGTATATATGACAGTAACACATAGAGTGCACCGCTAAACTGAAGTGAGGCTGTTATTGAGGGAGAGGCACTCCGCAGGACGCAGCCTCAGGTGACAAGGTATGTTCATCCTCTTTCTCTCTTCTCTCTCCTTTTGCATGAATCGATCTTTTATATATGTTTCTTTCTTTGGTTCATCTCATCATTTGATTTGTTCTAACTTTGGTTCGTTTGATTCGGGCCTTTACCTTTGTTCCAATAGTGAAGAGTAGCTTCCAAACTAGGGTTTTTTTTGTGTGTGTGTGTGTCACTGTGTGTGATGGCTATCAAAAGCTGAATGAATATGTTATGGTTCTCTTGGTATTTTAATAAATGTGTGTCTTTCATGGCGATCGAGTCCATAATCTATGGCAGGCACTTTTTTTTTTTCCCTCTCCTTAATTCCACTCCAATCTCACAACAGCAGCAATCATACCCCTTTTACTCATAAGTTTTTGCATTTTCACATTCAATCCTACGAAAATTAAGGATCCCTTCTAGTGGGTTGAGCCGTTGAGGTAATAATTAACTGTTTCGATCTCTAAATTATGCTCATACTTAAAAGTGCCAAATTAAGGGTTTTTTTTTATATTTTATTTTTATATGAAGATACATACCACCATTAATTGATGTTATTTGAAGTTGGCTCAGCTAGAATTTCAGTTGATAATACTGTCAAAGCACTTGCCATCAGAATGTACGAACACATGGAAATCAAGAGCAGGCTTTAACAAAACAAAAGTTAATGGTTTTTTCTATTTATTTGCACAGGTCTTCTGTTGCAATGATCAATCAATCACTGCTACTAAAGTTGATTCCTCATCCTGAAATCAAGAAAGGGGTAATTGGCTCCCAAAAAAAACACACACAAAGTGTAGTTAAAGAGTGAAAGACAAAACTATATATGATAGTGGATGCCACATATAACCTAAAAGTCCCACTAATTCTTCAGCACTACAAGTTCAGCCTCCTATATATATAGTCACCTCATCTCCACATATTTTTTTCATCTGTAGTCATCAAATTTTAGCAGCTATATAAACAATGAATGTAAAAAAGAAGCTGCAGTTTTCTGTTCCCCATTTCCACTTTTGGACTGTATTTTGGATACTCTGTTTTGTCTTCTCTCTTCTCCTCCGGATTCCAGTGAAAACTCTAGCCAGGAGATCATTCGACCAAACAGCTTGATTTTAGATTTTTTTTTTTTAATTATGTTTATTGTATGATCGGCAATGCTTAGTTATTATTGTTTCTGTTTGATTCTCCATCCGTTTTATGTTAATTGTGATCTTCTTTCACATGCTAGCAGGACACTCTTCTTAGGATCTCGTGAGGTTATTTGCCTTGAAGTTGAATCAAATCATTGCGTATTGAGGTAATATATATTTTCTTTAAAAAAGCAAATTATTATTATTATTTTTTTGAAGTCTAGTTTTATGTTGATTATGGTTCCTGTTATTTAGATTTCATTATGTCTACAAGAAAATTTGAATCTGAAAAAAAAAAAAAAAAAAAAAGAAGAAGAAGAAGAGAGAGAAGAAGAATTGATTCAGTCTCAAGAAGGAGATAATCTTAAGTTTTTTAGGAGCAATACACAAATAGAGAGTTTAGTTGAAGATTTGGTGAATGAAGAACATATGAATGCGAACATGAAGATTTAATGAATGAAGATCATAGGAAGTTAGTCAATGAACATGAAGATTATAGTTATTAGTTAGTTGTTTTATGCACATTGCACATGCGCACAATTAAATTAACTATAGAATTTGAAATCATCGTGTGAAAATTCCGCACTCTTATAATTTTTTTTGTGTGTGTGAAACTTAAGGGCCTCACATTTGAAGGTTTGCCAAGGGCCTCTCAAAATATTTGGAAACTCAGGGCCGGCCTTGAGAGGAGTGTAGAGATGGTGTTGGAGAGAGACATAGACGATCTGCCAAAGAACCCAGCAAACTACGAAGCACTGACACCACTTGGGTTCTTGGAGAGAGCAGCTTTGGTGCATCCCCACCGTAAATCTGTGGTCCATGGGTCTCTGCACTACACATGGCTCCAGACTTACCAGCGATGCCGTCGATTGGCCTCCGCTCTCTCCAACCGCTCCATCGGCATCGGTTCCACGGTACTTCCATTGCTTCAATTGAAATTTTGCTCCACCCTCTATTTGGTTGCTCAGAAAACTCAGGAAAAATATAAGATTCGAATAATTAAATTGTCTTCTATAACATTTATTTGCAACTCAACCGAACATAGTTACGTGTTTCGTATATACAATTTGATGACTTATTTGTTGACTGAATTACTATTTTGACCATGTTGTGGAGTCGTTTAGATTTAAATTATGCTCGCTCATTTTTATGTCGAATTTTTATAGAAATATATTCATACAAGATTCATAGTTATTTAGTTTGTTAAGGGTTTGGAGATTTTTTTGATTGGGGGATCGAGCTTTGATAAGGAAAAATCTGATATTTGAGAGAGGCTAAGAATTTAATCGTTGACTTTGAAATGTTTCAATTTGAGGGAAATTAATACATATTCTAGCAAATTAAGGTATTGTTGCCTTTGAGAGCACCGAATGAACAACTTGGATTTGGAATTGGAGAAAATGTATTTAAAACTTTGAACCAAATTTCTTTAAATTCCAAATCCAAACTGTCCATTCAGTGCTCCCGAACATAGCAGATATATATTTGAGAATCCCAAATGAGATATCATTTTGTTCCCTGAGTTCAGCATTTTAGTTGTATTGAGTCAAAACTATATTTTTGTGAGCTTGACTGAAGTTGTGAAATATCAGTTGAGTTGGGCTGCTTATATTTTAATCAACCATGCTTATCAATAAAAAAGGTCTCCATTTCAACTGGAAGCTCAACAACCTAATCAGTAAATGTATGAAATTCAAATTGAAATCATTAGAGATCTTACCTTGAACTGCGCACTGATCAGGAAAGGCTATGGTGGAGCTAAGTTTATTAGATCTATAATCTTCACTATTATCTTATTGCTCTTATTTTGTAAAGCAATTGGCATTGGTGCAGGCAGAATGATAGTTTCGATTTTTGCATAACGTGTGTTGTATTTTATCGGCAGAATACTCGTTTGTCTAGGTAATGATATCAAAGTTTGCTTTGAATGCAACCTAGGCAGTCTTGGTCTGATCTGAAATCCACCAGAGCCAAACATGTCTCACTGCCAACTCCTCTGGTGGCTGTGGAAGCTAAAAATATCATAATCTTGAATATCTGTTGTGCATCTCAGTGCATTTTTTTGTTGTTTAAGAAAGATTTTTCCTTGTCATCAAGACCAAATTTTCTTTCTAATTAAACCAACGAAAATATGTATGTTTAAGTTTCTCTAATATTAAATATCACAGGATATATTTTGTAGAGTAAAGTACAAGAAAGAAACCATTTGGTGGCTAAAAGATTAAACTACAAACTGCAAAATAATGAATAATGGTTTTGTCATGTATAATATATATTTATGCGAGGTACTTGTTCACTTGTGCTATTTGTTTTAGAACTTGTTGAAACTTGGCAGCTTACTGTTATTTTTTTCAACACTGGCAGGTGGCCGTAATTGCACCAAATATCCCAGCTATGTATGAAGCTCATTTTGGAGTTCCAATGGCTGGAGCTGTCATAAATCCTGTCAATATTCGTTTGAATGGATCAACAATTGCTTTTCTTCTAGGGCATTCGTCATCTGCAGTTGTAATGGTGGACCAAGAATTCTTTCCCTTGGCAGAGGAGGCTTTGAAAATTTGGGCAGACAAAAGCAGAAGTGATTTTAAGCCTCCACTTCTGATTGTCATAGCTGATGAAAGCTGTGATCCAGAGACATTGAAATATGCTTTAGGAAAAGGAGCAATAGAATACGAGAAGTTCCTGGAAATGGGTGACCCTGAATTTCCTTGGAAACCGCCACAGGATGAGTGGCAGAGCATTGCTTTGGGATACACTTCTGGAACAACAGCTAGTCCAAAGGGTGTGGTGTTGCACCATCGAGGGGCACATCTCATGTCTTTGAGTAATGTTGTATTATGGGAGATGAACGAGGGAGCTATATACCTGTGGACATTACCCATGTTTCATTGCAATGGTTGGTGTTTCATTTGGACACTTGCTGCTCTTTGTGGGACAAATATATGCCTTCGACAGGTAACTATTCGGACTTTTCACTTGATTAGATGGTAAATTCACGTGCTTCCCCTTACATGTCTCTTGTGTTAACTTTACTTGTCTCCTCTTTATCTTCATCCAATCATAAATTACTTGTCTCCTACTCATATAATTCATGGGTATGCAAATTGAATCCTTAAATTGCATGGAAGCAAGTATTAGACAATCTGCTACCTAGTTCATGCGGATATATAAAGCTCGAATTGTGGCTTGTGATAGGTAGTTTTTTAACCTAAAACTACTAGCTTGGTATAACAGCTAGCTTGTAGGTGGGAGAAGTGAAATTAACATTGATTCTTAGATTTAACTGAAGTATAACATTATTTAGCAGTACTTCTTATTGCAAGATTTTGTTCTATGTTGTAGTGTTAGTTCTCTACTTGCTAGGGTTCTTCCACCATTTTAAAATTTGGATCTGGAACATAATTTTATTTTTTTATTATTATTATTTTTTAAGTTTCTTTAATTGTGGTTCAATTTGAGGGTTTTTTTTTTTTTTTTTTTTTTTTTTTTTTTTTTTGCAGGTTATCAATTAATTCAATAAAATTTGGCTGTTTTAGCTCTATCCCTAAGCACATTTAGCTCTGCATTTATACAGGTAACTGCTAAGGCAGTTTATTCATCCATAGCAAAGCATGGTGTGACACATTTTTGCGCTGCACCTGTTGTACTCAACAACGTAGTAAATGCTCCACAACATGAGACCATACTGCCCCTCCCCCATGTTGTCCGCGTAATGACAGCTGGTGCTGCGCCACCCCCTTCTGTTCTCTTTGGAATGAGCAAACTTGGCTTCCATGTTACCCACACTTATGGCCTCTCGGAAACGTATGGCCCTTCCACTGTATGTGCCTGGAAGCCTGAATGGGATACGCTGCCTCCTGAAACTCAAGCTCGTCTTAATGCACGCCAAGGTGTTCGGTACATCGCCTTGGAGGGGCTGGATGTCGTCAGCACCAAAGACATGAAGCCTGTTCCTGCTGATGGAACTACCATTGGGGAGATTGTGATGCGGGGCAATGCTGTGATGAAAGGCTATTTGAAGAATCCTAAAGCCAATGAAGAGGCCTTCGCAAATGGCTGGTTTCATTCTGGTGATCTCGGTGTGAAGCATCCTGATGGGTATATAGAACTCAAAGATAGGTCAAAGGATATTATAATCTCTGGAGGTGAAAACATCAGTAGTGTGGAGATCGAGAATACTATGTACTTGCACCCAGCAATTCTGGAGGCATCTGTGGTGGCAAGGCCGGATGAGCAGTGGGGAGAGTCACCTTGTGCTTTTGTGACATTGAAGCCCGGGGTTGACAAGTCTGATGAACATCGGTTGGCAGAAGATATAATGAAGTTCTGCCGGTCAAAGATGCCTGCATATTGGGTTCCAAAATCTGTAGTGTTTGGACCACTGCCAAAAACTGCTACAGGGAAGATACAAAAGCATCTGCTGAGGACCAAGGCAAAGAAGATGGGACCAGTTAAGAAGAGTAGGTTATAATCTTGAGATGGTACAGGGCAAAATAAAATGGGGCATACATGTGGTGCTTATTTTCTGCTTCCTTTTTTTGTTCTTCTTTAGTTTCAAAACCTTACTATTTTGTATAAAACATTTGCTTATGGGTTAATTTACAAACTTCTCTGCATATCAAAGAAGCTTTTATCATAGTAACATCGTAGTTGTTTTTGGATTTCTACTGCATTTTTTTTTCCTGAAACTCTGTACATGGCATGGCTGAGCAACAGGGTATGTTGATACAATAGTTAATTCAATTCTGGATATGTGCTGGTATGGCTGGCTCTGTGGGCATTTGTAGGAAATTGGTGTTGATATGGTAATTGTTAGGGCATGTTACATAAGTTCTGCTGGAGTAGGGGTAAATAAAAGCTATGGATTGTGATCTGTTAATTGTGATATGTTAGATCTGGTTCCATGTTGCTAATCCTAATTCTCATACGAATCTATAATTAGAATATTACTTAGTTTCTTCTGTGTTCAAAGTTGTAAATAAAGTTTATGCAGACAACTTTGTATAGTTTTAAGTGGAGTACTAGTTGAATTAGTCAAAAACTGTACCTAGGTATGAATTTTGGCAAATTTTGGCTTTTTTTGGCACTATTACATTATTTCTTTATTTTTGGTGATTCCATGTTTTTATGGATTGTGATCTGTTTGATCTGGTTCCATGTTGCCTATGCTAATCATCATAGTAATCTGTCATTAGAGTATATACGATATAAGTTATGAGGGGAGTATTAGTTGAATTAGATGTTATATTTTTGTGCCTAAATTGACATGCCAATGATTCTTACCTGGAACAGAGATATATATTTCTCCCGTATGGATTGTTAACTATAATTTTTTTACAGATTCGTAGATTAGTTTAGTCCAACATGATGCCATGATTAGCGCTATAAATGAGCAATTCATGAACAGTTTGGGTTCTTCATATTCAAACTTACATAATTGTATGAGGAACATTTGTGCTCCGTTTGGTAGGAAGAAAGTAAGAGGGTAGAGGGAAGATGGGAAGAAAGAGACGAGCTTTCTTTGTTTGGTAGAGAGGAGATATGGAGAAAAGATGACAAATGAGTCATCCTTCTTCCTTCACAAATTTTTCATTTCTCCAAATATGAACTGAAGACAAGAAAAGACTATTCTAAACGTTTTTAAATTAAAAACTTTCCTTATAATTAACATTCTCTTGTCCTCTCTCCTAACAAACAAAATAAGGTATTATTTATCTTATTCTCTTCTCTTTCATCCAACCAAACATAAAAAAGAAATAATATGATATCTTCCCTAAATATGTATTATTTATCTCTTCTTCTCTCTCTTCTATCCAATTTTCTTTCTTTCTACTAAAAGGAGTATCCAATTTTGGAGCAATGATACATAACAAGATTTTTTTTTTTTAAAAAAAAAAAGCCCAAGCTTTTTGTTCCAGATGGTTATTCGAGATGGTTGTTCGGGAACCCTTATTTCTTTGTTAATGAATTTCCATTACCTAACCCACCACCAATAAGTATTCATTGGAAAAAAAACAAGAAACATCCAAATTTATTTTCCAAGATCCAACACCTATTGTAATTTAAGTACATCCCTCAACAAAGGAGGGTAAAATGTAATTTAAGGCAATAAGGTTGTTGAACTTTTAGTCCTATAGTTTGCTTGCTGAGGTATTTCTCGAGAAGGAGTGTGGCTGTGGGTCTCTTTCTTTAAGATGGGTAGATTTCAAGGACGAAATCTCTTAGGCTTTGTTTGGTTAGGAAGAAAGAGCTAGGAAAAGAAAGGAAATATAAAATTTTTAAATTTTTTAAAAGTTTGGATAGATAGAAAGAGAATCGTAATGGAAAATTTAGTTTCCAGTTTTGAGTTTTTTCCCCCAAAATTTTTCCCTCAAAAAACACGCGAAAATATTCTCTCTCAAAATTTCTCTGGCAATGCAAATTATACATTTAATACAGAATATAAATGATAATTTATGAAAATTGCTCCTTCTAAATAGATTTTTTTTTTTTTAATTATCTGTTCTATATTGGAATTCTAGCCGCTCATAATCCCAAATCATACTTAAAATAATGAGTTTAATAGTCTTAGATCACTATTACATCTATAGTTTCAAAATTTTTGATAATCAAGGACGTTATTTTAACGATTTTTTCGTTCCAAATATATACACAGTATCAATATATATTATCCAATATATATAAGAGACAACACATAGTATATATATATATCATACTATACTATGTGTTGTCTCTACGTGCTTTTCCCTTTCAATCTGTAAAGAGCATCCACCTGTACCTGTAGATCACTAATATATATATATACACACACACACTCATACACCTCTCTCTTTCTATTTAAATTTTGATGGAAAAACTTTGTTCCACGAATGTTTTATTGAAAGACGAAAAAAAAAAAAAAAAAAAAAAAAAAAGACTATATTGAACTTTTAATTTGGTATATTAATACAAATCATAAGGTATGGATATGTATGTATATATATAGTTATATGGTGAAATATTTGATTTTTCTCTCAAATGGTAGTTTTGGTATGTATAATCACTTTCTTTTCATTTTCATGCTATCCAAACCAACAAACTAATGTTTTTCTACAATTTGCTTGATAAATTTATCATACTAACTAAATGCATGTTAGAAAATCTTTTTTCTTTTCATTCACTTAACTTCTCATTCACTTTCTATATCTTTTCTTTTTTTACTTATTTCCATCTAACCAAACGGAGCCTTAAGGAGGGTAGAATGTAATGTTTCCAAATTTTACTATTTTCCAATTTTTGGAATTTTCTGATTTTTCGAGGGTATTTTCGCATTTTCTCGTTTTGCGTGCCGGACACCGTGGGGTGTGCCGGGTGTGTCCGAGAATTAATTGGGACATTTCATTGAGTTCAATACTCTTTGAAATGCAAGGATTGCCATTTTTGCATTTTTCTATTTTTCGGGTCGGACGGTCCCGTGTGGAACCCGTTACCGGAACTGTTGCGTACAAGGATTTTTAGTTGGGTCCATTTACACCTCATGCATCTTATTTATTATATTTATGTGGATGTGAATAATTATATGTGTATATGTAATTGTGTGGTGTAGAAAAAAATAATAATAAAAATAAAATAAATGGTGGGTCCCACATGCATTATAACAAAGGCAAGGGCTAAGTCATTACCATTCGGCAGATTCACGACCAGCCTCTCTCGTTGGAAAAGAAAAAAAAAAAAAACTTTTCTCTTTTCTTCTATAACTTTTATCCTTGATTTCTTCTCAATTGGTGAGAAATTTTGAGTGCCGTTTGCGGCAATTCGAAGAGCTCATTAAGATCTTCAAGTTTATATAAACAATTTTAGCTATTGGCCACTCTAAGAATTCCGAAAATTTAGACTCATTTGGAGCTTTTCTATAATGAAGAGTTAGGGGTGCTCTAATTCATATTTTCTTTGATCTTTTGTGAGTTTTCCCCTCTAATTTGATTCTAAGCATGTTTGATTTTAGCAATTTTGCCTATGTGGTTGTGGTGGTATGTAATTAAGGTGATGGATGTATTATATGTGTTAATTAAACCAATTATTATGATTATATACTTGTGGTGAAGATACATGCTTAGTATTGACATTTTAGGTGCCCCATGATTTTTAATTGTTAAGAAAAGTGATGTTGAAATTATGAAAATAAATGTTAAGATTTCCCTTAATAATGTGATCATGATGTAGATGGAATGTATGGGATTTATTGTAAATTTTTCTTGAGAAATTGCCTGTTAGATATATGATGTGTATCTCTATGTTTGTTATGTGTAAATAATATACGTGTGTATGATTTTTTGATTGGATATGGAAAGCATGTTTTTGTGATTATGTCCTTATTTAATAGGTGTAATTGTAGAAATTTTGTTGACTTAAAAACATACTATAAATTCATGAGAAAATTCTTCTTTAGTATGGAATGTTGTTAAGGTTTAATGATGTGAAAATTATAGTAAATTGTGAAGTATGAAGCATTCATGCATCTATTGGGAAAGAAAAAGGGGAAAAGTACTTTTTAAAACCAATGAAATTGTTTTAGGGAATTTTTTTTTTTTTGAAAAGTGTTTGTGAAAACCCGAACGCCTAGGAGGTGCCTAGTGGTCCGTGGTGTTAGTGTGATCTAAAGAGGGTACTAGGGAGAGACCTTAGTGTGGTTGAGCTAACCAGGCCGGATGCGACGCCTTGGAGGTGCCTTGTGTTCGTGGATGGTTAGGTAATCTCCCTTTCGTGACGCCTTGGAGGTGCCTTGGGTCGGATTACACTAACGGTTTGAAAGTTGAAACGGTATTGTTTCAGAAATGGTGTGGGACATTGTATGGCGTGGCACATCATTGGCATACTTGATGCATCTGGTAGTTGGTTGATATATGTATGTTTGTTGATGATACAGTGGTTTTACTCGACTCCCGAGAGATGATCTCGTTCTCATGCTTTCTATTCTTTATGTAGATTTACGGGGTCATAAGAGGCATATCTTAGACACCTCCTATTGAGCAATTTGATCACCCCTTATATTTAACATTTTTCAGGACACGGACGGTAAGTGACAGACGACGCTCCTTCACATGGTTCGATGGGTTAGTTGACCATTTTGACATACTTTGTGGCTATGATATCATTTTTTTATTATTTTTTTTATAAACCTTGGATGACTCGTATATTTTGGACTGACATAAGAAAGGACAGTAGTGCCCTTAGTAGACCCTGGGTTAGTGTAAGGACCCGATTAGCGATTCGGACCCTCGGGTTCGGGTCGTTACATTTATCAGGAGCTTGAAACAAGACATTGAATAAGAGGAAACCGCAGTAAGCACAGCTCAAAAAATTTCCTTTCCATCCCCGTGTTTTCTTTCTAATTTTATCTCGCTAAAACTGAATACCTCCCTTCTAGACCTATTATAGGAGGAAGGCCTAAATACTTCTCTTGACCCCCCTTTCTAAAGGTATTAAGTACATCCCTCAACAAAGCTCGAGTTGACAATGAAAATTTTCGACTAACAAAAAGACTGGACTTGTCAAAATTCACAATTTGACATGGGGTAGACTCATACAAAGCGATATTTTGTTTTATTTTAGAGACTTCCTCTACATTGGCTTTACAAAATAGTAAGCAATCATCATCGCCAA